ATTCACACTTTCAGATTCATTACTAATGGGAAGAGTTTGTTTTTTATTGGAGTTATTTGATTTTGCAATTAAGCAGTCTGAACAGATCTTGTAAAATTTGCCTTTATAAATAAAGGCTTCCGGAGGTAGAGCTTGTACCCGTTATAAATTTGAGCTCCGGGTTACTCGCCCGTTTACAATATCATTACCAGGTCATAAACCGGGTCATCTTAAATTATCCGGGTAACCCGGTTGACCCGTTTCACTTATTATTATATATAATTTTAAAAAATTTATTTATTTAACCATTAATTTTTAAAATTTAATATGTATACTGATAAAAAAAAGAGAAATTTACAAATAAATGCACAGAAAGTGAAAATAATTACAAATACGGGCCCAAATCAAGAATAATTATATATAAGGGCCTAATTTTTAAAAATATTATATATGAGGGCCCACGATAGCAACGATTGTTTTATTATAAACATTTAGAATTATCTATATACTGATTATTAGATAAAAGGATAAATAAAGTGCTAGTTATAATCATATTTGCTTAAATATTGCATAAAAATAGGGTTAAACTAGTACAAATATTCATAAGGCAAGGTTTTAACAGAGTAGCTTTCTAAAGCAAACATCATCCATAGTCATGCCAATTCATAGTGGTTTATTATAACAATAAGCAATTACATACGAAAAATTCTTTTCGCATTTATAATTACTAATTTACATTCGATCATTATATTTTTTATGTGATGCTTACGTTTCTTATACTAACAACGATCAAGCTACAAGTGTGATGCATTGCGGTTATTTTGGGCCCTTGTAATATTTTTTAAAATATCAACTTGTCTGAAGTAATAGCAACTTAATTTAGTATAATCTGAAGTGCAAAGATATCGATATACATTATCTTTGCCATTAGAAAGATATGTACATTGTGCAATCACCTATTACCGAAGTCAAAAATTTATTGAATCGGCCAAACGGTCATTCGGTCAATTTTTTACCAGATGTCCAAAAATTAATGATAATAGCTGTAATCGGATTGAATAGCTGCCAAAGCTGCCGTCACATTTTAACAATTATCATGCTTATGGATAATTAATCCGGGTTACCCAGTTAACGATACTATAACCCGGTTAACAGGTGTTAACTGGGTTACCCGGGTAACTCTTATACAGGTACAAGCTCTATCCGGAGGTAACTTGTGTATACATGAAGTGCACAATTTCAAATTATCTATGTCCATTATTAATATTATTTATTACTGTCAGTCTTTCTCGCTTGACTAATATATACGATGACTAGAGTATCTTACCAGATACAGTTTATTAACTAAGAATAATTTAAAGATATATCAGAAACCAAAGTTTTGGCACTTCCCCATTTGGATCAATGCCTTTATATATTATTACTAATCACTATTGATTACTATATTGTTCATGCAATCTATTCTTACTAATCGCTACTGACTACATTGTTCATGCAATCACTTTTTTAGACTTTTAATTAAATCGTGATCACCTGATATATTATGTATCAATTAGATCACAATGTTCGATCAACACGTACCCGATCACTAGTTACATGGGTACCGCGTAGCACTGCGACAATTACTTTGGATTTAACTTGAGTCTTATTTTAATTACCTGTTATGCTGTTCTTGGCATATTATTTTTATCAAAAAGGTTGAAATTCTATATTTTTTATTTTATTGAGGTTGATAATTTAAGCAATTTATTTTCAACATGCTATCAGTTTATGCATTATATTCATAGATTTTTAATATGACGAATATTTATAACTCACCTACTTATTTACTATTGGTAAGTACAATATCATAAGGTGTCGTGATTTGTTATTACTGTATTACACAATATCTACACTAATTAATAACTATTTATCAATTTTACGACATTTCCATGCTATTTCAATTACGATTCTATTTTATCTGCATTAATTTAATGATGAGTATTTTGTAACTAAATTATTCAAGCTTATGAATATTGTTCAATTAGGTCAGTTATTAATTTACTTGATTCATATTAATTTAATGAGAATAAATATTATTTATTCGATGCATATAAATTAAATTATTCGTTATCTTTATTCAGATTATGGGGTTTCAAAATTAATGATTCGGCGTCCGATTTCAGATAAAATGTGACGTATATATTTCGAAAGAAGCGATGTACAAATTTTATTTTTTTAATGTACTTATTTGCATGATCGCTTACCAGTGAATGTTTAATAAAAAAACAATTTTATTAGCTACGCAAACTTCTACTTATTTTTGAAAAAGTTAATTCTAAAACCCCTAATAGGTGGTATTAGTTGAGCATACTGTATAACATCGGATAATTGTTATTTAAATAGATTGGAGTTAAAAAGAAAGAACATTTGTTATAAAAATCTGCTGATACAGAAATTTTAATGGAACGACTGATCTTGAAAATTGTTATCGAGACGATGTTGATTTAAAGTCTATAAATCTTTGCTATATACAGGTTCATAGCGATAGTTAATAAAATTATACATAATATACTGTATATTATAAAATTTATAATCAATTTTGGGGTTGGGTCGGTCGGGTCAGACCGGGGTCGGATAAGGTCGGATATCACGTGATCGGAAAATCTCACCTACATCCTGGTGCGGTTAGCTGTAACTGAAAAGGCTCCAATAGCAATATCTGAACTGTCTGAACAGAGCACTTCAAATAACATCTCAGAAGTAACTCTCACAGTTGAAACTAAAAATCAAAAGGCCACAGCACCAGAAACAGCAAATGTGATAATTGATACAGTTACAAAAGATAACCTTATATCTGACAATAAAGGATACAAAATGGAGGAAACAAAATTCACACTAGTTACCTCAAAAAAAGGAAAAAACAAAAACAAGAACAAAAGCAGAAGAGAAGATCTTGTTATAAATATACTTGCTGGCAAAACCCGGACAAATCCCAAATTCAAAAAAAAATATTGCTATTTGTAAATGATTAAATTAAAAAAGTAGTCTTAATATTTTGTAAATATATTATTTATAGCAATAAAAATATCTACTATTTGTT